AGAAACGATAAACTGTTTTAAAGCGGCCTTCGGTTTTGTTTTCTGTTGGAAATAAATTTCTGTGTTGTTTCAAATTAAGTATTTCAGTAACTTTATCTTTAAAAGGTGTATATACATAACCGTTAAAAGCTAAGATCTCGAAATACTAATTCAAATACAGGGGGCGTACAGGTAAATTAGCGGGATAGGGTATTTTTATATTTGTTATAGATGTATTTTCGCTGCAATCTCATTTCAGTAAATGCAAGCCCCTTATAGTCAGGTAAGTTCTTGGACCATGTTTATTATTTTCAGTTATGCATTCATCCTGACAAGATTGTTTTATCAAAACAGTAGATACGAAACAACCTGAAATAAGTATATAACAACAGTTAAATATAAAGTAAAATAAGACAGGAACAATGGATTACATTAATCATTATCCATATCTTATATTCACATCCAGAAGATAATCACCAACATGTTTTAATCTTTTAATAGCGGCCAATCAGTCATTTACGTTTAGCCACAGTCCTTACGTATTCATATTGAATTACACAATTTGCACAAATTTTACATTTTATACAATACACAATACTTAACATTTAACGATCTGATGGATCAGTAAAATTCATTAATCAAACACAATTACACCTCTTCTCTGGCACATCAGTAACTGTTAACTGCAAGGTTTAATATCAATAGTTAATAAAAGAATAAAAGTGACTTGATAGATACATGTCATTCTGAAACTCATACTTATTTACAAATTTATAATTAATGGACTGTACCGAAATTTAACAGAATCACAATAATTCAATTCCACGTATTGACAAAAAAGCATTCAGCAGTTAGGATTAACACAAACCTACTTTAGATAACGAACTTGACAAAAATACAAAAAAACGTTTTTATCATCTCTTCTTCACAGAAACAAAGACTCAATGCATTTTGCCACATATCACATGATATCACTTGACATTAAATAGTCTAAAATCAACCATCCATGACTCAATCATTTGATTCCTTCAATTAACACTAACACTTCCAATCAATGTAAATATAGGAAAAAAACAGTTAAAATAAAAAAGGTAATCTCCCTTTGAAAAGTATCAAACTGGACCGGCGGATTTGTCTCCCTTTCGAAAATTATAAAGTTAAACAGTCATGCAAGTGTTCGATCCCTTGCAATTATTCTTCAAGACTAAGACCCATACATATATTATTTTCCACCTAAATATTTTACATTTGACAATGATATAAAAACAATTTATCTAAATATAACATATTTAACCTTTAGAGCGGGATAAGTGTGCAAAAGTGTAGCCATTAAATCATGACAAAAATATATATCAGCAGCACAATTGACTGTTTACAAACATATCTTTGTTAGTAAATATACACAATAACTTATTGTAGAATTTTTGTTTTCTGTTCGTTAGATGCCGCAGAGAAATGTGCAAAAAATATGGTAGCCGGTTGCGGCCATGTCAAACGCGCGAGAAATGTTATCGTTTTATCATAAAATGTCGCGGGCAACATATGTCTTGCCAAAATCGTATAAAATGTCGTGGAGAACGTATACACCTCGATATTTTATAACACTTGTTCGACACAGCAAGGAACATTTTGACTTCATTGGTCATGGTTTGACTCTACATTTAATCTCTCGTTTGTCTATAAAAAGCTGAGGAACAGAAAGAAATCCGCGACATTTTTTTGCAAGTGTTTTTGAAATTCTACAAAAAGTCGAGGGAAAAAATTATAGGCCGCGGCTTTCTGTTTATCAACAACGAATTTTCATAAAAAGTCGCAGAGACATTTCCGGGCATAAAAGTCAAAGCTTAATGCTCAAACTCGATTGAGCAATGCATCAAAACAAAATATCGCGGATTGTAACGACAGCAATCGGCTACCTAAAGAAGGCATATGTTTGCGTAGCTGTAGACAAAAACATGTTGCGGTTTCCTTCGTATAACTCGATTTTCTACGACAGAAGTGTGACGGAAAAAACGATTTTTATTAGCATCGACATTTTATTCAATTTCGACATAAAATCTCGCAGATTTAAAAGTTTCTAGCGACATATTATAAACTGACGGTAAAATGTCTCGCTGCTTTATAAAATGAACGTTATCGGCCACCATAAAAAAATATGCAGTTAACTGCAAACTTCTTTATTTGTATATCTTTGCTGACTGCAGCAAGAGGACTAGGAGAGTTTCGAGAACTGTGTAAATAGAATATAAATGTTAAAGTGAAAAAAAGAAACTTATATAAAGCCAATGGATCCAACGCTGCATCGAGTGCAACGGCGAGGTTCTAGAAAAGCGTTGACTTTATTGTGACGTCACATTAAATTGACATTAACCCTGCGCCGGCGTTTGATAGGTTCACGTTTTAATTATTAATTTACATGTATTTTTGTATTTTGTTTTCTACGAAAACATACATACCTAATGTAGAAAAATTATAAAAATCTAACACTGTATTTTTTTAAAAGCTTAGAAAATGACGTTACAACTGAAGTGTACGTAGATTTCGAACATCCCTTGTACATACATTCCATGCTTAAATGTTTTTATTTGCACAAACTTGGTCTTTTATACTATGTATTTTTTCTTCTGATCGCCATCGGAATCTGCATGCGACATACGAAAAATTTTAATACTTTTTTTATTTGAAGTTTCTTTCAATATTTTATAGATGTCCTTGAAATGAATACACTAAGCAGTCACAGGAAAACAATTGACCCACGTAGGTCAGTTTAGAACATTTAGATTTTACAATGGTTGTTATAGAAAACTATGAAAACGTTAATGTACTTGCCAAATGAATGACTTAGAGTTATTTTAATCTCACAATATCCACAATATCTGTTATTGTAATTTAAAGTGTTTTTTCTAGTTAAATGACTTGTTTCAAAACTACTCGGTGACTCACATTCATATAATTCAGGCAACACCTTTCTTGTCGTATTTCTTACTCAGACAAAATTCCTGTGACACTCAGCACCAAAGGCAGCATTATGTAATTTTAAAGTTACACGTAGTAGACAGATCTTCAGATTTCTTTTGAAGTTACATGATCCACGGGCAAAGGTGTAGACGAATCATCGGAAGACTTATATGTATGTATGATTGCTTATCAGTCCGTTCCACCACTTTTCCCTCAACTAAATGCACTTACTGCATTTATCCCACACAATATTGACTAATAGCTCTGTTGGTATTTACAGACCGTTGATTTGGCTTCTTCGACAATAAAGGAACTATGTTTGTAGCGTCGCTTGATAGTTTAAACCTGCATTGTTACAAACGAGGCATATAAACTATTCATCAAAGACTTGAAATATTCACAGGCTTTGAAAAAATCTGTTAAAATACCGTTTAATCTGTATCTGGTTGACTTTTTCTCTCCGAGCCGAGACTTAATTATTCTATCATATAAAGAATCATATTAATGTTACTTTCTATAAGTATGTAAAATACATAATAATGTAGATCTCTGCTCTATAAAAGCCTTCGTTTAATTCCAATTCGACCACTGACATCTGTCATCATACCATGCAAACATTAAAATGAAAGAATTCCAGCTGCCTCTGTCAGTGAATTTCCAAGGCGTTAAGTACTAGCGATAACTTTGAACAACCTAGGTTTAAAGCGGTCATGAAATCATGTTATGATACGCTCATAACAATTATATTTAACAGTAGACTCCTATGGTCTCTCCGTAAAATACCTTATATCAGTAGGATTGTCTCCTATAGAATATACCAGCTATCCATTCATCTATATATTAATGATATATATTGTTTAACAACTTTTTTCACAAAAAAAAAACTTAGATGAGAATGTTGCACAACCACGTGCATACTGTACTTAATACAAATTATTAAATATAAATTGCCAGTTCTTACACCTAATACTGGTATTGCGCAAACAAGTAGAAAGTATCTTATAATTAACTCTATTTACATCCATTTCATATGCCTTTATATAGCACAATAGACACAGCGCCCTTGTCAGTATTGTATTCATGCATTAACATGTTTGAATCATGGTTAGGTATCATAACATATGAGTGATTTAGGTCTTTTTTTCTTATTTTGAATAGTTTTTTTCTAATACTAACAAGTTCATTAGGTAGAATATTATTGTTCACGGGTTGTTATGCACTTGTGTAAAATTTGAGGAAGTCGTCAAACATCAGACGACTAACGACATCATTAGAAATGAGCCGCGTCACGACAAAACCAACGTAATACGTTTGCGACCAGCATGGATCCAGACCAGCCGGCGCAGCCTCGTTGATAATTTATACATTTACATCTTTAAGGGCATAATTTTAATTTTAACAAAGGTAGCAGTATTTCAGTAATATTGTCGAGGAAAAGTACATTATATCACTGTTCAGCCTTTTCGAAACGGCACCGATAGTTATTCATAGCGCGCAGTGACGTTCAGTTCTAAAAATAGGAGATCTCGCTTTACTAATATGCACCGGTAGATTAGAGGTATCGAGGGGTTTCCCTATTGTTTATGTATTTTATCGACGACAAAATTCATTTTACATCTAAATTATTTTGATTTGACAATTATATGAAACGATTTATCTTTTAAAAAAAAAACACATTTAACCTTTAAAGCTAAAGGCCACTTTAAAAGAGATGTATGTTGTTTTAAATGTATATACTGATTAGAGATAAACGATGAAAAAAACTAACAAAAACAGAGCGTACTCAACAATTGTGTGTTAGTAACACGACTGGGAATACTTTACTTATTAATGTCTCAGGTGTGGATGTTCTGTCTCATATATATTAGTGAAATGGTGAAGTCTATTACTTTACAATTGCTTAGATGGAAAAACACCGAGGGCTGCCGTTCTCTGCACACTGGCTAACTTTTGTCAATAATTAGATGAACAGAATGGAGTTTATTTTCATAACTTGTACACAAATAATTTCATAGATATAATAAATAAGATACAATTAATAGATTACGTGATGTTTAATTAAGAAAGGTGTATGGAATACAGAGCGGGCTAATACAACAATAGAATATATTTTTACAGTAAATCGATGAGGATGTGTTGGGTAGTTGTTTAATCATTTTTTTTACATCAAGCATTCTTTTAAATATTCAAATATTAAAACGCAAGATCAGAAATAACACAAAGTGACATCAGTTACAAGATGTTTTAGTTTTTAATGAAAACTGTCGTTTCGTTTTTGTTACGTTTTAGTCAAACTCACAAACACTTCGGTATGTTCTACCGCATGACACATCGTACCACTTTCGAGTCGGATTAACACGGACTACACAATGTTCGATGCCACCTGAATTAGTGGGCTCTCCATCTTTCCAGTTTTGAAAATAATTGTTGACATTGCTTCCATCCTGCCAAATGAAAACACCCTCATTTTCCATGTCTGTTGCGCCAAGCCATACATCAAAGTTTACAGACTCTGTAACAGAAACTTGACAAATTTATGAGTGCATGAGGACAAATAAGTTTAAAAGAACACAAATGAGGTCAAAAAGCAAAACAAAATAACAACAATTTCTTAATTCCATACATAGATCAGCTGAGGCTCTTCAAACAAAAAAATATACAAAAGATAATTAATAGATATACTCAGAAATAAATTAAAAATCGCATTGTTTGCTATCTTTCCCCCCATTTGAGTGAAAAGCGTTGCAACGCTTTTTAACTTTCGGTCATTTTTTCACATTTTGTATAATTATTCAGGAAAATGGAGTCAGCGAATGATCTGAAGTTTTGAACGTCCAGACTCATATCAAATTGAAAACTTATCTCGAAATTTATTTTTAAACACATGATGTCAAAAACCTTAAAAATTGTCATAAACATAATGCATTCTATAACATTACATGTATTATGTCGGGCAAATTAATGATTTAACTAATTCCTGAAATCTTTTACATATATAATAAGACAAAATGTTAAAATCTCAAAGTTTTACTAACCAAGTAGTTTTTCTATGAATGCATTTTCTGCCGGCGATTTTATGTCTACCAAATAACCTCCAAGCTCCAAACAATGATTCTAAAATATTTAAGTATATTGTAAGAAGTATTTTCTCAAATAGTTGAAGCAATTTAATAAATATGAGTAACATGAAAATTTCACAACGGTGCCGGTAGACCGACAAAGCAAGCTTGAGAGTAGCTGTTTACGGCGGGAAAGAGTTTCCGCTTATCATTGCTATCAAAGAGCTACAAGAATCAGTCAACAGATATTTGCCTTTTGTTGACCTCAATAAGGATGTTAATCCGCATAAAAGTGTGTCTGTGTTTAATGCCAGATATAAATTTCAAATGCTTGGTAAATGCCAACTTTGATCCAGTTTTTTTGTGACTAAGTAGTTTTGGGTGTTTTTCTACATAACAGAATTCACATGGTTCCGACCGATTACTGAAAAACTGTCAGACTGATGGATTTTGAACTATAGTGTTGTGAAAAAATGCCGAATGACGCCTTGTTTGCTGTAGCTGGAATTATTTATCATGGATGATACTGTAAGCACAAGTGACTTTGATTTGATTGGAGAGTTAGTAAAATTGACACAGAGTTTAATGTTAATAAAGAACATATAGTGTAATTGGTTTTTGTCTGGTGCATGCAGATTTCAATGATAAACGACACCCGGTGTTAGATCCTCTTTCTTACATATCACATATAAATCATATTTTTGAAACCCCTTTCTGATATTAAAACGTTTTCATGCAAATCTGAAAATGAAAAAACAAAATTCATGACTTTTATGTTAATCATTAATAAATAGTTATTTTGATATTGTTCCCCAAAAATGAAAAAAAATAATAAAGCGCAAAATATTTTGATCTTGGATGTGGTTTTGATAAAGCACAGGACCTACAATCTACAGATAGTAATCTACGGATAGTAATCGTGGGTTCAAACCCCGTCAGGGGCAAGTCCTTGTTTTCTTGGGCAAGAAACTTTAAACTCATTGCTCAGTACTGGTTGGTTCCAGGAAAGGATCCGAGATGTCTATAAGCGTATAGCTACTAAAATAAATGTGTTAACCAAAATTGTGCATGTTTCTTTTTTTTTTTTTTTAACTAAAATTATACCTTCGCATCAGTCCATGTCTTTGCGTTTGTTACTACCAGGTAAGCTTAAATAAATTAAATTACAAAAGATAATGTCAAATAAGATGTTTTAAAATAAAAGAAAATTATAATCTTAGAGTTTTTAAATTTGTATGCTTTTGATTTAAACCTATATAAAATAATAACATGTTTCCCTATTGAACATAAGAGAACCGAATGAGTGTGTTATTTAAGAAATAATATATCCCAAACAGTGATATTATCGCTCAATAACATCACTGTTTGGAATTTGGATGCGACGAAATATATCACGAGGGCATAACCCGAGTGATATAATTATGGGCATCCGAACGACAAACAGTGATGTTATCAAGCGATAAAATGTGGATATATTATTTCGATTCTAACACGACACCAACAAATAAATGCTGTTATACCTGATATTAGGCAAAATTGTGTCTGATTTGTTTCCGTACTTATTTTAAGCGCGTACGATTCTTTAAGTGGTTACGTCACATGTATTATGATTACGTCACATATCTAAATATAAGACGTCAACTGTGACTCTATTGCATATACTAACACGACCCGCATTGTTCACTTTTGAATATAGAAGAACCAAAAGTGTGTGTTATTATGCAATAAAGTCACAGTTGACGTTCTATATTTAAATATGTGATATTATCATTATGCATATGACGTAACCACTAAAAAATCCGACGCGCTGAAAATAAGTACGGAAACAAATTAGGCGCAATTTTGCTTTATGTCAGGTACGGCAGCATTTATTTGATGATGTCATGTTAGAATCGAAATAATATTTGCAAATCGGTGATTTTATTGCTTGATAACATCACTGTTTGGAGTTCGGATGCGACAAATTATATCACGAATCACATCACGTAGTCGTTCGGATGCGCATCACTATATCACTCGGGCTACGCCCTCATGATATTTTCGTCGTGATGTTATTGAGCGATGAAAGCACTGTTTGTGATATTATTTCTTAAATAACACACACTTTCGGTTCTCAAATATTCAATAGTGAAAAATGTGGATCGTGTTAGAATATACAATGAAATCACTGTTTGACGTTCTATATTTAGATATGTGACGTTATCATTATATAGGGTTAACGCATGTTTTTCCGTGTTATAACGTCTGCAGAGTCCCGAGGAACGGTTGGTGCCCGAGCCCGGTAGGGCGAGGGCTCCAACCGTTCTGAGGGACTCTGCAGAATTTATAACACGAAATAAACGTGCGTTGTCGACGCTATTATAGCATTTTTTTTATTTTTCCGGGGCAAACAACTTGGAAAATTCTCAGAACCGAACGAAATTTTCAATTTTAATTATTGAACCAAAGCTTGACATTGGACATTCATTATCTCAAGAAAAAACAACGTTACATTTCTCTACCCACTACCCAAGACAAAACATGACCCTCGGAAATTCTTAAAATGATTTCAGATTGACGGTAGAACAAAGATCAGTGACAACAGAATCGGTTTTTTTCAAGCACACAAGTTTATAAAAAAAATCAGGCACTAAACATTATTACCTCAAAGAAATATAAAGAGCATTTATCAACATAAACATCAATAAAACAACATTTTCTCATATTCATTTTGTGTTATCTTGTTTTGTTAGTTAATCGGAGGGTTAAACTGAATGATAGGTATTTGTTTACATTGACAACTGTCCGTTTCTTAGAAAGGGCGACAACCAAGATTATGCAGCGATGCCTATTCGCCGTTTTTCCGGCATAGTTACTTGAAAGCTGCTCGCCGTAATGCGATTGAGGCCCTCGAATCAATAATTTCAATATAACCAGAGCGCATGACTCTTGGCAAACAGGCCAAATTGTCATTTCTTTTGTTTGTTTACTGGGCCCTGTATGTATTGCGCATAGGTGAAACCGGGCTATAACAAGAGCCCGTGACTATGTTAACACAGGGTTTTGGTCCCGTTATAACATGGGCAAAATAGGGGAAAATAGCCGATTTTATGCTATAATACACTTTACTTAACCACTAAATATGTGAGCACTGAAAATAGGTATGGAAACAAATCAGGCGCAATTTAGCTAAATATCAGGTACGACAGCATTTATTTGATGATGTCGTGTTAGAATCGATACAATATATCCAAATTGGCGATTTTATCGCTACGCTCTGATATAATTCCTCGCATCCGAACTCCAAACAGTGACTATTTGAGCGATAAAATCACAGTTTGAGATATATTATTTCTTAAATATAAAAGTGTAATGTAACGTAAAGTAATGTAATGTAATAAGAACGCCGCCATACTTCTAGTAGTAAGGTTATTGTTAATTGCTAAAGTTGCATTTTTAACTTTTGAAAGTAGTGTTTGTGTAAAGCAAAAAAGAAAATGAAAAAAATAACAAGTTACATCGACGTCTATAGAAGGTTGTGCCGAGGAGTATTGGAGCGTTTCTTCTGGTTAGAAACTTGTCTCTGCATCCAATACATCGGGAACTTTCCTGACGATGGAAAACACCGAAACATACCTCAGAATCAGCACATGTTGCCAAACATTGTGATATACTCAAGTTATCTTTGAAATATAATGCATGCTGCCCGGGGCAGGTATAACTATCAAGATCTGTTTCCTTTGTGAATTTGAGATTTTTATTGTCATTTCCACTGACTGTGACAACAAACGACACACATGATACGAAACAATATAAACAAAAACGAAACTGATTTTTCTGCATTATTAGAAAAATTGCTACACTTGTATGAAATCGTTTATTAAATGATAATTAGTGTTCAACTTTTAAACAATGTAATATCCAACAAACTGGTGATCTATCTAACAAGTGGTAAACATATCTATAAAATTTAAACATTTAATAAAAGTCAATAAAATTTTAAATCATAACTCATATGAATAATGAATTGTGAAAGCACGCCCTATGACGGCAATTTCATTCCCCCAAATGCAGCATGAATCTGAATTATTGTTTATCAGTTTAAGGATATTAGTACAATTACTAGGAATAAAACTGAGCAATTTTGCTCTGCGCAGTCTGATCAGGATCCATGTTGTTCGCTATCAGTTTTTCTTCTTGTAAAAGGATTGGTAAGCGAACAGAATGGATCAGACTGTGTGGATGCGCAGGCTGGTCTGGATCCATGCTGGTTGCAAACGCACTATGTTGGTTTAAGAACCCTCGTACCTTTCTTTCCCAAAGTGTTCTATTTAGCAATTAAAGTTTCAATAACAAACACACAAAACCTTTTCTCATACATTTATTTCATATAAAAGTATACATAATACTGAAAGTAAACTTCCAACCTCTAGGCCAAACGTGAGGTAAAGTAAAAACAAACTAGAACATACTTATTTTTTTATAAAGGCTGAATTTTAAATTAAAACAAGTATAAACATACAAATCAAATTTAAAGAGCTAAGAAAGACATATATTCAGAACACCAGGACACCAACAAAATTTTAACTCTAATCGTAATACTGTGGCTATTTTTGACCCTTGTGACCTTGGCCCTTTAAACTAGTGATGAAAACATTGTAAATGCAGAAATAGACATCATAATAAAAATATTTTGAAGTATCTTTTCATGATAAATCAAACAAGGCTCTTGGTCAATTAATTTTTTAAGGACAACATGTGTTCAAAAACAGGGAAAGACTAAATTGTAAGTATAGAAACATGATTTTAACGCTTCTGTAAGTATAGAAACATGATTGTAACGCTGCTGTAAGTATAGAAACATGCTTTTAACGCTTTTGTAAGTATAGAAACATGATTGTAACGCTAGTGTAAGTATAGAAACATGATTGTAACGCTACTGTAAGTATAGAAACATGATTGTAACGCTACTGTAAGTATAGAAACATGATTGTAACGCTACTGTAAGTATAGAAACATGATTGTAACGCTAGTGTAAGTATAGAAACATGATTGTAACGCTACTGTAAGTATAGAAACATGATTGTAACGCTAGTGTAAGTATAGAAACATGATTGTAACGCTACTGTAAGTATAGAAACATGATTGTAACGCTAATGTAAGTATAGAAACATGATTGTAACGCTAATGTAAGTAAAGAAACATGATTGTAACGCTACTGTAAGTATAGAAATATGATTGTAACGCTAATGTAAGTATAGAAACATGATTGTTACGCTACTGTAAGTATACAAACATGATTGTTACGCTTCTGTAAGTATAGAAACATGATTGTTACAGTACTGTTACAAAAGAAATATGATTGCATACCAGCTGTTCCAGAATTACATATTTGTAACACTATCGCAACCGTAGAAAGGTGACAGTACTGTTGCAAATTTAAGCATGATTTTAATACTACTGTAACAATAACAAACATATTTGTACACAAATGTAACCACTGTAGTTTTCAATTATTCCTATTTAATCATCTAACTCATTTTATATTCTTTGTATTCAAATTCTGATAAAATATTAAAATTCTTGACATATAGATGGGACATTAGAGAATTGAATCCCTTGTATGAACGACAAAACGGTTTATAAATAAAATCAATCAACATGTTTCAAATTCAAAATATTACATTAATATCTTGCCGTTTTCTTGACTTTGCAAATCATTAGAATAATATTTATGATGTTTTTATTGCATTAGTAAAACCCCTGTCACACTAGGACGGCGTTCTCACGGCGTCCAGTGACACTTCAGAACGCCGAGGTGAACGCAGTAAGATCGCAAACATCGCCGCAGCATCGCCGTAGCATCGTTGTGGCATCGCATAGAACGCCGACCGACGGCGCGCATTTTGAGCATGTTCAAAACAAACGCCGTCACTCGGCGTTCTAAAATGAGCGCAGTGGGATCGCAGATAGGACGCCGTAGCAACTCCGTAGCATATCCTACAACGCAACAGGAGCGCCATGAAAGCGCAAAAGGAACGCCGAATGAACGCGGTGGTTATCCACGGCGCTTGTACGGAGTTTGTGCGGCGTCTTTACCGCGCTTATACTGCGTGTGCACGGCGCTTTTACAGAGCTTTACGATTTCAGGGCAGTGTGAATGCCGCGAGAACGCAGTATGAGCGCCGTAAATGCGCAGTGAAAGCGCAAAGAACGTCGTAGAAGCGCGATCCGAACGAAGACAATCGTCAATTAAAACGCCGTGAAAGCTCCGTAACATCGCCATGATCGCCGTGGGGACGCCGTGAAGACTCCATGAAGTCTTTATGTCAACAAAAATATAACATTTTTTATTGCGATCTCGCGGCGCTTTGTTAAATTTTACAACGCCGTGCAAACGCAGTGAAAGCGCAGTTTGGTGTGACAGGGCCTTTACGCTGTAGAATATTCATGATAAAATACTGCAAAATTAGTCTTAAACCGCACAAAACATGTAAAATATAACTCAGATCTTGAATGTTTTCACCTTTCTAAAAAGTTTAGTGCATTTTTCTCAAAATTGATTTTCTTGAAATATGTTTGCTCATCTGTAGGCGTGTAGCTTTAAAGTTACATTAGTATGTTACAACTGGTACTCTGAGACTATCATCAGCTGTAAATTGATGGTGTTTAGGAATACACGACATTCAATATTACAATAACAAACAACTTTAATGTCTAAAATTATACAAAAGATGGATTTGGATTAACGAGAAACGTAAGCGTAACTTCCCATTTTACATACTTAAAGAGGAACATAAGAGAAACGTCCCATTTTTACATACTTAAAGAGCAACGTAAGAGTAACTTCCCATTTTTACATACTTGAAGAGGAACCAAATTAAGATGATGATTTATTACGTTGTTTCTCAAAATGTTTGATATCCGATAATCGTTTTTATCTCTATTCTATTGTTTAAAACAATTAATTATGGCCCAGTAAGCTCCAGAAATGCTTTTTTGATTTCTCAAGAGCTTTGTTCGTCCTGCCATATATAGTTTAAACATGGAGTATCTTTTTTCAAAAACAGAAACTGCTTTTCTATAGCAATAAGCACAGCTATGGTTATTTAGTATTTTGTATAGAAATTCAAATATATTTTTTTGTTTACATTTTGCTACTATTACGACAACTTCCAAATTCAACGCATCTTTGTCAAGGTAAAATGCATATAACATATGCTCTAAAACCCAAAAATTAAACTATAATGTACCGGTGTTTCCCTATCTTAAAGTAGGAAATAATATGTGTTTATGAATATTATAAACAAATCAGTTTGAATACATGTTTTATTAGATAATGCCTCAGAAAATTGCAATCAGAATTTTTAGTTATTCATGTTGAACAATACATATCTGTCATAAATATAACATTCCAAATACCCTATAGAAAAGCAATTGATATTCCTTTACATATTAATGAGCTCTGTTCTGAACACCGATGAACTAAAAACACATATGAGCCGTGTCACGACAAAACCAACATAATGGGTGTGCGACCAGCATGAATTAAGACCAGCCTGCGCATCCACAGAGTCTGATCAGGATCCATGCTGTTAGCTATCAGCTTCTCTACTTGTTCTAGAGTTTGCAAGCGAACAGCATGGATCCTGATCAGACTGCGCAGGTGTGTCTGGATCTATGCTGGCCGCAAACCCATTATGTTGGTTTTGTCGTGACACGGCTCAATTATGGTCTGTTGCATATTATATGGATACGCTATATTAATTTTCATGTGATAAAATAATATTTTGCGGACCTGGAATAATGAATAAACAATACACTTATTGCAGTTTAAACAAACCATTAAAGGCCCATTAAGCCACAGAAGTGATTTCATTTTCATTTTTCAGTAAAAGCTTTTAATGTTGGTGTTCTTTTATTGTATCCAAATAGTTACTCATTGGCTTATTACCAGAACCATTTTTTTCATCTGTTTCCTTTTGGAAATAAGTACAATTATTCATGTATATATAGTGTATTAGTATTTGTATGAAAAACAAAATACTACAGTCCCCTTTGTTTACATTTTACTACATTTATGACAAATTAGTTAACATTTAGTGCTACTTTCGTAAGTTAACGACGCGGAAACCATAATACAAAAATTAAAAAAAATCATTATAATTATATTTGTTTCTTGGGCATTATGGGCCTTAAAGGAATTGATACGTTTCAAGTTAAAAGAACTCGATTTAGGTCTAAATGTCTAAAATTATAATATGTAGATCATTTTGGGCACCTTATACAGAAAGATATGAGCCGTGCCATGACAAAACCAACGTAATGCGTTTGTGACCAGCATGGATCCAGACCAGCCTGCGCATCCGCGCAGTCTGATCAGGATCCATGCTGTTCGCTAGCAGTTCCTTTACTTGATATAGGGACAGAAAAAGACGTGCACAAAATTTGCCTTCATTAAAGGAAGGGGACGGAGTACAGTTGAAAGACATTAATATAGAAGGTAGAGTAATTAAGAAAGCTTCGCGACCACGATCTTTTATAGTTGAGACACCGAAATCTAACATTGAAAGAAATTTCCGTAGTTTGGTTAACTATCATAAACGAGTTGACTTTGATAAAGAAATAGATATTCTTTATATGCTTTAGTACTTAAAATAAAACTTATATATATTTAACAGTGTTATGATTATAACTGACCAGCGGTCATTAAGACAATAGTACAGTAACCACAGAAATTTGACTTAAACCATAAAACGTGGTAATTACACTTTATTTACCTCAGAAACATAATAATGACATACATGTGCGACTGTTACAATGGAAGCATGACTTATTTTTATGCCACAGACACTTGATTGTAACACTACAATAGGTATAAGAACATGATTGTAACGCTACTGTAAGTATAAAAACATGATTGTAACGCTATTGTTAGTATAGAAATATGATTGT